AATGGCAACTCTGGCAGTCTCTGTGCCACCCTGTGCCACCCCAATGGCTACTGTCTGTCCCTGTGCCATCCTTCCTGGTCCCTGTGCCACCCCAATAGCCACTGTCCGTATCTGTGCCCCCCTGCCTGGTCCCTGTGCTGCCCCAATGGCCACTGTCTGTCCCTGTGCCACCCCGACAGTCCCTGTGCCACCCAAATGGCAACTCTGGCAGTCTCTGTGCCACCCTGTGCCGCTCCAACGGCCACTGTCTGTCCCTGTGCCACCCCAACAGTCACCCTGCCCGGTCCCTGTGCCACCCTGACAGTCTCTGTGCCATCCCAATGGCCACTGTCTGTCCCTGTGCCACCCCAACAGCCACCCTGTCTGGTCCCTGTGCCACCCTGCCTGGTCCCTGTGCCACCCCAATGGCCACTGTCTGTCCCTGTGCCATCCTGAGAGTCCCAGTGCCACCCCAATGGCCACTGTCTGTCCCTGTGCCACCCTGCCAGCGCCCGTCCAGCCCCAGGAAGGAGGAATCGTGGCCATAAATGGGACAGGAACAGGGCAGTTCCCTCCTGGATGCCCAGAGTGGGACCCTGACCGCCCAGGACAGCGACTTCAGCGCTGTCACACGTCCCTGTCCCAATGGGGACATCTCGGGGGGACAGGAGCTCCGGGATCACCGGGCCCAGCACGGCCAGGGCCACCACTGACCATGTCCCCAAGTGCCACACGCACTGATAAACACCCGGGGATGGGGACTCTGCCACTGCCCCGGGCAGGACAGACCTTCCACAAAGGAATTCCCCCAAAATCCAACCTAAACCCTCCGGCCACAGCCTGAGCCCGTTCCCTCTTGTCCTGTCCCTCGTGTCCCGGGAGCAGAGCCGGACCCCACCTGGTGTCACCCTCCTGTCCCCGGGGTCCCCACAAGCCCTTTTTCCCCAGACTGAGCCCCACCAGGCCCCGTCCCTCTCCCGGTCCCCATGAACCCCTCACGGCCAGGCCCGGGGGTCTCTCCCCTCACTGCCAGGTCCTGGCTCCCCTCACGGTCAGGCTCGGGGTCCCCTCACAGCCGGGCCCGGGGGTCTCTCCCCTCATGGCCAGGCCCCGGGGTCTCTCACGGTCTGGCCTGGGGGTCTCTCCCCTCACGGCCAGGCCCCGGCTCCCCTCACGGCCAGGCCCGGTGGTCTCTCCCCTCATGGCCAGGCCCGGGGGTCTCTCCCCCTCCCTCACCGGCGTCTCCCGGGGTTTCCCAGCATCCCTCGCGGCCCGTGACGTCACCTCCGCCCCGGTACCTGAGCCCCGTTACCGCCGCCGGGAGCACCGTGATGGTGGGGGGGAACTCCACTTCCGCCACCGGCGCGCTCCTATTGGTCCGCTGGCACCACGTGGTGAAGCGCGGGGCCTGCTGGGAGCTGTAGTCCAAAGAGCCGCTGCCCCACACGTGACGCTTGGACTACAACTCCCATCAGCCCCCGCAGCGAGAATCCCCAATTTCCCCCATTTCTCCCCAAATTTCGCTTCCCCCTCCCCCGAATTCCACTTTTTTCACCCCCCAAAATCCCACAAGTCCCACCCTTCTCACCCCCAACGCACCCAACAAAACACAGCACACAAGCAGCTCAGTTTTTTCATTTTTCCCATTTTTTTTTCTTAAAAAAAAAAAAGTTTTTTGTATTTTTTTCCATTTTTATGAGGTTTTTTTTGTGTTTTTTTTTTTATTTAAAGGCTGGGCGAGAGGTAGGATAGAAAAGGGCGTTTTTTTGGCCTCTGATAGATCAGGTTTGGGAGCTCTTCTCACCTTCACTCCCTTGCCAAACACACCTGGGCTACTGAGGGAATTTTACACAATGTATTAAAAACTTTATATTCCAAGAGTTATATCCACAAAAAAAAAATAATAATGACAAAAAAGGGGGAAGATTTCTGGCACAAATCACATCAAAAGTGTCCTACCTTTAAATAAGGAAAACGTACAAAAGTGGCTGACGCTTGTGCAAAAAAATTCTTCAATTTGCTGTTAATATTTTACAGAATCAGTACAGGAAAACGTAGAAATCAGTAAAAAAAAAATTAAAATAAAAACAACCCCAAAACGACCAACCCTGGAAGGGATTTGTCACGTTTTAGCAACAGGAATTTTTGCTGTCCCAGGGTGGGAATCTTGGCTCAACCTGGGGAGAGCTGGGCACTTTCAAGTCCCTTTTATATTTTTATTGTTTATTTTTATTTTTATTTTTATTTTTATTTTTATTTTTATTTTTATTTATTTTTCCCCAGAGTAAGGCAAAAAAACCGACCCTGAAAAACACACTGAGATCCACAAAAATTAAAAAAAAAATAAAAAATGATGTAAACGATTTATCTTCCAAAAAAAAAATAAAATAAAAAAAATTAGAAATAAAAATAAAATAATTTCCCCCCGTTGGAGGGATGAAAACAGAGGGTGTGAGGCTGAAGGCAGCTCCAGAATTTCTCACACTTTTGGCTTCTTTTGGGGTTTTTTTTCCAGCTGTTTCTGGTTTTTCCTGCAGGAAAACCCCCTCACAAAAAATAATAATTAAAATAAACCCCCCCCAAGGATGAGTTTGTGCAATTCCTGCCCCGATTCTCGGCTAAGGCAGCGAAGTCCCTGCGGTTTGTGTTTATAAAAAACACCTCCAAACAAACTGAAAAATACAAAATGGAAATAGAAAACAAAACCTGCAGAAAACCCCACCCAAAAAAACCCCCAAACTCCCCCAAAAAACAAAAAAAACCCCAAAAAAACAGCAAAAAATAACCAAAAAAACCAAAAAAAACCCAACAAAGAAACCAATGAAAAACCCTGAAAAAAACAAAAGAAACTCCTCAAAAAAACCCCCAGAAAATAAAAAAAAACAAAATAAAAAAAACAACTAAAACCCCTCAAAACTCCCAAAAATCCCCAAAACAACCCCAAAAAATAAACCAAAAAAAACACCCCAAATAAAACCCAAAAAACCCCAAAAAATTCCCCAAAAAACCCAAAAAAACCAAAAGAAATCCAAAAAACCCCAAAAAAACTAACAAAAAATCCCAAAACAACCAAAAAAAACCAAAACACAAACCAACCAAAAAAAATCCCTAATAAACCTCAAAAAAAACCCCAAAAATCCAGAAAAAAACAACAAAAAAACCCTAATAAACCCCAAAAAAATTCCTAATAAACCCCAAAAAAATCCCTAATAAACCCCCCAAAAAAATCCCTAATAAACCCCCAAAAAATTCCTAATAAACCCCAAAAAAATCCAGAAAAAACCCCAAAAAAATCCCTAATAAACCCCAAAAATTCCTAATAAACCCAAAAAAAATCCAGAAAAAACCCCCAAAAAAATCCCTAATAAACCCCAAAAAATCCCTAATAAACCCCAAAAATATCCCTAATAAACCCCAAAAAATTCCTAATAAACCCCCAAAAAATTCCTAATAAACCCCAAAAAAATCCCTAATAAACCCCCAAAAAATTCACTAATAAACCCTCAAAAAAATCCCTAATAAACACCCCAAAAAATCCCTAATATACCCCCAAAAAATTCCTAATAAACCCCAAAAATTCCTAATAAACCCCAAAAAAATCCAGAAAAAAACCCCCAAAAAATTCCCTAATAAACCCCAAAAATTCCTAATAAACCCAGAAAAAATCCAGAAAAAACCCCCAAAAATTCCCTAATAAACCCAAAAAATTCCTAATAAACCCCCAAAAAAATCCAGAATAAACCCCCAAAAATTCCCTAATAAACCCCAAAAAATCCCTAATAAACCCCCAAAAATTCCCTAATAAACCCCAAAAAATCCCTCATAAACCCCAAAAAATTCCTAATAAATCCCCCAAAAAATCCCTAATAAACCCCCAAAAAATTCCTAATAAACCCAAAAAAAATCCAGAAAAAACCCCCAAAAAATCCCTAATAAACCCCAAAAAAACCCTAATAAACCCCAAAAAATTCCTAATAAACCCAAAAAAATCCCTAATAAACCCCAAAAAATTCCTAATAAACCCCCAAAAATATAAAATAAAAAACCCACCAAAACCAACAAAAAAAACCCCCTAAAACAAAAAAAAACCCCAAAAATCCAGAAAAAAAAACCAAAAAAATCCCTAATAAACCCCCAAAAAATCCCTAATAAACCCCAAAAAATCCCTCATAAACCCCAAAAAATTCCTAATAAATCCCAAAAAATCCCTAATAAACCCCAAAAAATATAAAATAAAAAACCCACCAAAACCAACAAAAAAAAACCCTAAAACAAAAAAAAAAACCCTATAAAAACCCCCCAAAAAATCGAAAAAAACCGAAAGGCGGCGGCGGTGGCGGCGATCCAGCATCTGGGTTTTTTTTTTTTTTTTTTGGGGTGAAAAGGGAGGGATTTCGTTGAATTTCAGCTCTTTTTTTTGGGGGGGGGTCTCTCACTCCATGATTGGCGCTGGGAGGCCGGGGAGGGGCTCAGGGGGTCTCGAAGCCCACGCGGAAGCCGGGCTGGGGGGGCACCACGGCGCCGTTCTGCCCCTGCGCCGCCTGCACGCCGTAAGCGGGGCCCATCCACGGCGCTGAGGACTGGCTCTGCCTGCGTGGGGAGGAGGGAAAAATCCCTTAGGGATGGTTAAATTGTGCCTGGGGATTGTTGGGAAGGGGTTTGGGGTAGGGGGGGTTTGGGGTGGTGAGGGGGTGTTGTCGCTTGATGGGGTGTTT